GGGCCGGGGCCGCCACTCACCAGGGCGGGCGAGGCGGCCAGCTTGGCGCAGGCGAACATGGCGGCGGCGGCGGCGTCCCCGGGGCAGGATCCGGCGAGTCTGCGGAGAGAGCGAGAGGGTGAGGGCGGGCGGCGGGCGCGATGGGGCCGGATGGCGCCGCGGGGGCCGCCGCGCGCCGCTCACCTCGGAGCCCAGCGGCCGGCGCCTCTCTGCGCACGCGCGGCGGATGCGGCGCGGGGCGGCGCGCGGGAAGCGGAGCCAAGGTCACTTTGTAGCAACTTTATTGGCAGCGGGGGAGGCGGACAGCCGCGCGTGACGTCAGCGCGGCGGGCGGGCGCGCAGCCGCAGTCGCGCCGGCCCGCCTCGTTGCGGCCGTTGGTGCGACCGTTAGGGCCGTTGAGCAGAGCGGCCCGGCGGGCGGGCTGCTGTGGGCGGCGTGAGGCTGGGCAAGGCCCGAGGGGCTGCTGCGCTCTCTGAGCTGCTCGGAGCTCACGTCTGTTTAGCAAAACAAACAAAACAAAACAAAGTAGAGGCGGCGAGAGGGCAGTATGTAATTAGCACCACTCATTAGGCGCTAGGGAATCTCTCTGTACCACGGGAAAGGAAGGAAAAACAAAAAAGAGCATCCGGGAAGCCTAATGCCTGTTTGGATTCCTGCTTCCATCAGTACAGAGGACATTGAGAGACTGCAGGAAAACATTCAGGATCCTCAGATACCATTTGGATGGGCTTTCCAGGCAGAATAAGAGGGCGCATGCAAGGATACCCAAGGGCACAGCAGCACTGTGGAGACTTTGAACACGGAACAGTGGATCTCTGCTGCTTGATTTGGCAGTGGTACACGATGAGCAGGTTCACACACAAAAATTCCTGTTTGTGTAAACTTTTATCAGTCCAAGATTGTCATTATTGAGCTGAGTTCCAGAGACTTACATTTTTAGGATCTCTTTGATGCTTTCTACTCAGTTGGGAATATAATTATATTAATGGTCCACTGTGGTAATGTTGGTGCCACATAGGAAAAAACCAGAAGAATTTGCATTTTGGGTAGAACCCTGGGAAGCATATTTTTAATCTGAGGTATTTCTTTCTATATGATACAATCTGTGTTATAAAAATGGACTAAAATTAAAAAAATAGCCTGTGTGCAAGAGTAGGAGAATACGTGCACTACATTTAGGCACGGGCACGTAACATATGGACTGTTTTGGGTCCTAAAAGTTAGTTACTGCTTTCCTGCAAACTTTCATGGACTATTGATGTTGCTGTAACGGATTAAACCACAGTGCTATGCAGCGGAGACATATTCCACATCATCAGCTTGAAAACCAACCAACCAATCAATGTGCATGTTCAACAACTACATACTAGTGTTAAGGGTAATTCGCTTACCTGCGCTGCGCTGGACTGCTTCACTTCTGATTGTTACGTGCAACAGTTATACCCAAATGCAGGTCCTAGGTGAGATGCAAAAGTGCCATTTCAAAATTCCAACATCCTGCTTTGCCTTAAACCCAACAGCAAGCATGGTTTAACTCACAAATATTATTAAGATGGAGCAGCAAGAAGGGAGTTTATGAAGAAATGATTTTTTTTTTTTTTTTTTTTTTTTGGTTATATTTTCACAATCTTATACCCATGTTTGGGAACTGAAGTAAATGATGAGATCTGCAGTGCCTCTCATGTGATGCTTCCACAAATAAACACCAAAAAAGAGGTAAGTATCAGTGACAAAATCCTTTCTGACTAGTTAGAACTTTTCAATTTTCTTTTAATTTAAATCTACATAGAATTGTGCTAACTATCATTTCCAGTACCACCAGTCACAATAAAGCAAATGTGGATGTTGTATTGGTGGAATTACTTACATGTAAATTGCAGTACCTTGCAGTGAAGCACAAAGGATACAATTTATGGAGCACTTTCCTTAGGAAGTGTAGCAGTGAATAGGCCCTTTGCAACAAAGAAATTCACTTATTCATGGAAAAAGGCAAACTGGATGCACTGGGATTAGAGACATACTTTCTTCTTAGGAACCTAGTGGTCTAGACAGACCTCCAGGTGAAACTGACCTTCCCACAGCTCTCTCGAACAGAAAAGAAAGTGCATGTTATGGTCATGTATACACACAGCACAATCACAAAGGGTTAAATTGAACCATCTTCTATTGCTCTTATTTAACTGTAACTTAATTTGAAATAGAAGTTAAGAACAGTAATTGAATATAGAACTTTTATGCTAACCAATATTAATTTAACTATTGCCTTCCTTGGATACATAATTTTAAAAAGCAGGGCTGCCTTTTGAATCGATTTTTCATATTCTCAGCATAATAATTTGTCTTCTGTAAAAAGGTTATTTATTTGCTTAGAGATTCCTAAAGAAGAGTTCGATTACTGTGGACTTTACATGTAACACTAGGAATAAAGAAGCATTTAAGCTCTATATGTATTAAAATAACTTTATTATCAATCTGAATTTTGTATTTGTCATAACTTCTGCATCTTTGCTCAAGCAATGACACCCGCCTCCCCCTTTTCCTCTCAAGTAGCATCCTATTTTAATCCATTATTAAAACTATCGTCAAGTCTCACAAGTATTGTTCACTTTCTGTCATGATTCTCACTCTGGAATGTTTTGCCAAAATACATTCATATCTCAACAACATCAAAATCACCATTAAACACTCGTTTATTTTTGCTTTTTAGTCCCTGTTAAGGCACAACAGGTAATATGATATTTTACATGCAACTCAGCTGTTACTTTTAGGAGGAGTCACAATAGCAGTTATTGATGTATGCTGCATTGATCTATAATGTGTTAAGTTTCATTACAATAGACCTTCATAAAAAAAAGAGTGTTGTCAGTCTGACTATTTCCTACCAGGTGGACCTACTCTGAGTCCCTCAAAGAAGTATATAGGTACACTGAAGAACAATGTAATTTCTAAGTGTTAGCAAACTTCTGAAACTCTTACGTTCTCTGTGCTTTTCTCATCTTTCCCAAATCTGTTGAAAGGAACATCCAGTTTTCCAACTAGCTTTCACAGACAGAGCAAGTATTACATGTGGGCAGTAGCCTGGACTGCTGGAAGATAATGTGCTCCCCTCATTGCCTCTGACAAGGGACATGGGGGCAGTTGTTTGAGCAGCGTGTGGTACACAAAGAGCCAGTGCACGTCTCCCCTATAGCTTCCTGCTGCTGAGCTAGGTTTATGTAAGGACAGCAAGAACAGTAAGTCCCACTAGCTAGTGGGCTTGCCTGCTGGACTTGGGGAGGGGAGAATAAGAACAGGACAACACAGAATCTCCCCCGATGCCCTGAGCTTCCTGCAGACTTTCACTGAAATGTAAAGAGCAAAAGACTTTAATCTTCACTGCTAAGCAGCTGATTTTCTACATTTGCTGAAGGAGAAATCATGGCTAGTGAGGAAAAATGCCATTGTTCAAAGCCTAAATAAAAAGCAATCTTTTGTGTGTCTATGAAACCAAATACCCTTAGTTGCTGAGAGATTCCCAAAAGACCAAACAGGAGCAAAGGCTTTCTGGGACTGTTCTAATATTTTTGAAATGTTTTATACTGTAAAGTGGCATTATTACCCCAGGGTTAGCTCTCCAGCACTACCAGATTTATGATGTACTTTGCAGGGCATTGATTAATATTGACTTTCAAAGTCAGCATTTTTCAGGATTTTTCCCAGCCTGGGCTGTGTTTCAAAACATATTTTGACACACCTTCATAACCGCATGGTTGGATCTTCTCATGACTGCATAGTTGTCCTCAGATAAATGTATTTTATGCTGTAGAATTTTTAAATCATCTCTGGAATGAAATGAAGCCATCATTAGATGGCTCTGCTTAAATAGGAATACAAACTGCAACATGCTATTAATACTTGCTTACCTTGTTGGCAAGTGGTTGGCAAACTTGGCATAAGGACTGCTGGAAGTGCTAATTGCTGAGCTGGGTGCATTGGAAGGGATGCTGTAAAGGAAGGCATATGATGATGAAAGGGTTTTTTTTTTTTTTTTCCCCTTATCACTGTAGACTTTTTTTTTTTACCAGGAAATGGGACAATCTGTTTGTCAAGCAAACTTTGTCTCTGAGAATACTTACACAAGACCTTTTTTCCCTAAAGTTTAGTCTCAATAGCTCCTTTTAGTAAAGAGCTGAAGGCAAGTAACAAACTAATTCTGCTCAACAATGTACTGATTATTTTAACTCGAGTCCTAGAAAATGATGACATTAAACATAGAAACAGAGAGCACAGCGTGTTCACACTTAGCAAGACTCTAAAACTGTGCTAATACTATTGAGACCACTGGTGTAACATGAAAAAAACAAAACAAAACAAAAAAAACCCACTTCCAAATCTATGATAACTCATATTATGTCTTTTTAGGGGCTCTAAGAGCTGCTTTAAATAGCACAAAGATCATGTGCATGGGGTTTACTACTATGCTGTTATATATAGAAGTATAAAACTGGGATTTTGTCAAGAAGAAAATCAGAAAGCATTCAACAGAAATTCTGCATGAGAAAGAGATGTTCTTATCTTCATCTTAGCTACTAGGATCTAGTGTAAAATGAGACCAAGGCTCCAAGCAGCCTTGCCAGAAAAGCTGGCTCATTGGTAGAGTTGCTTTCACTCCTTTCGCTCTCGATAACTAGGCCTGTTGCCCAGTGCTCAAGTTCTCCTGCTTAGTCGCCAGAGTTTTTGATTATTGAAGTTGAAAAAAATCACAAAATGGAGAGATGTTTTGTTACTGGGCTGTTTTAGAAGTACAGGCTTTTGCACAGGGGAAACTGCAGTGCCAGCAGCACTCTCTGTTTTAAAGCAGTAATAGCCAAAGTGTTTAGGTGAGATTATTCTGCTCTTAGTATTTCTCAGAATTGTGTAGGCTGTTCTAGGTAAGTCTTTTAGAGCGATATGCAGAGGTTGTTGACAAGCTGAATGTTAGGTAACCACTGCTCCAATTGCTAATTCCTGTTTTGAGAGTAAATTAGTGTTTTGACTAACTGTTTTGCCGTGATTGTCTTCTGCCATGTAAAGAGCAAATGCAGGATATGCACATGTATGCTGGAGTCTGGCAGAAGGAT